GTGTGTGTGTGTGTGTGTGTGTGTGTGTGTGTGTGTGTGTGTGTGTGTGAGAGAGAGAGAGAGAGAGAGAGAGAGAGAGAGAGAGAGAGAGAGGATGCTCCTGCTTTCGCGCCTGTCTGGGTCTCAGCATGTATCAACCACCATTAGACCTCTCCTTAGATGCCACAATCTTCTGCACCCCCTCCTTGACTGTCCCCGACCCAGGCTTACTCAGGCACAGCAAGATGCAAGGAGGAGGGCCTCTAGGATAGGGCTCTGACGGATGGATAGGAGTTTTCCAGGCAAAATCATTAGAAACTTCTCACCCGGCTCTAACTAGAGGCTATCCGCATTGCCAGGCTTCCCTTTCCTGGGGGTTCTATACTGTACCTCACTTTGATTCTCCTCTCTTTCTTTCTTTTTTTTTCCAGAATGTATGAATTGTACCCGGCTTAGCGACATGAGTGAGCGCCTGACCACGCTGGAGGCCAAGGTTAGATGGCGGCCTGGGGGGCTGACAGAGAATGGGGCTGGAGGGGCATGAGACCCGTGCTGGATGTGACTAGAGAAAGCCCCTTCCCAAGGAGCCCGGCTAGCCTGAGCAGACAGGGTGGCTCTGGGTGGCCTCAGTTGGAGCAGCCTCCTAAGACAGGAAGAGAGTAAGGTCTCGGGGAGTCGATGTCCCTCCCAAGGTGCCGTCCCCAGTTCCCACTGCTCTTCCCAGCTGAGAGGACCTGCTTGGGACTGGCACAGGGGGATTGACGGGGAAAGCCCTGGGGGACGGACTGTCAGCCCGAGGGGCAAGTCCTCAGAGGGTGTCCCTGGGACAGAAGGACTTAGGCCAGGAGAGGGCAAAGGCACAGGCAACCCTGAGCACCGGATGCATGTGTTCACTGTCTGGGTCCCTGCACAGGCCTCGGGCTTCCACACTGTGGTCCCGCCAGGGAGTGTGTTGTGTAACAAGACCTTTCCTGGGGAAACACCCTAGAAACGGAGCCCAGACCGATTACCACCGAAGTCCACCTGGATGACCCAATGAGTTTGATTGGGGCTACTCATAGGAATAGGGGTGCGGGGTCACTTTACGGGAAGGGAAATGGCTCAGAGGCAGCTGCATCACCAAAGCCCACCCCAGCGTGGGTGACTGCAGGGCCGCACGCTGCAGGCCCGCACACAGCTCGGCCCTTTGGCGAGGCCCTTTCCAGGCGATAGGATTCTGCCTTATGGTTCCGCTTGGGGGCGCTGTGGAACAGACGCTCAGGTCTGCCTACCCGGAGCTTACAAGCCCAGCAACTGCTCCTGTTCCCCACTGGGTGAGGTTTCTTCCGAGTTTCTCGCATGGCTGTCCTGCTTTCATTCTGAAATTCATTCATTGCCTCTCTGGCCAGAAAGCAGTGGGCAAGATCAAAGGTGCCTATGGCACGCCCCTGGTAGGGCCATGCTCTGTTCCCACCACGCCCAGAGGGCTGGGTGATGAGCAAGGGGGAGGGGGGGGGCGGCGTATGCCCTGCTGAGGCCACGGTGACTTTTGAAGGCATAGGAACTTCTGTAGTGGCCTGGCTGTCTAGACAGAGCCAGCAGGGTTACACGGGAGTCACCTGAGCTCCAGAGAGGGAGAGAGAGAGAGAGAGAGAGAGAGAGAGAGAGAGAGAGAGAG